AGGGGTACACTTGAGAAGAAGATAACAGTTTCACTGATGTGTCTGTGCTAACACTCTCATGGTGGTACTGTAGAAAATTCAGTTCTGGCACATTTGGGGCGCTGAGGGCCAGAGGAACCCATCGATGTGTCAACATATGACAGGTGATGGGCAAGACTGAAACCCTCAAGGAAGCATGTAAGCTAGAAGACATAATGAAGGCCTAGAACAGCAAACCATTTAGAAATTGGGAAGAAGAAGATAATTCGGTGAAAGAAACCGAAAAGAAAGTATAAAATTTGAAGGAAGAATTTGGAAAGAAAATATTTCTGAGCTGAGGAACAAGAAGGCTTTATGAAGGGCCAAGAAAATCTAACAGTATAGAGTTTAAGTAAGATCCTTATGGAAAGCAACACATCAGATTGTTTCTATTGCCCTTAATGGTTAAGACAGTTCAGAGAAGGGAGTAAGACATTTTAGGGAAGGGACTAAAAGTCAAACTGCAGTAGTTTAAAAAATAATGGAACATGAACAAACAGAAAGTGAATGCAGAATATGGAAGAATATGGTAATCAGAAAGGTAATGGGTGAGATTGGGGGAAAAATGAGGATGTGGAGTTGATGCTTGCTTTTCTTCTATATGTGTTTTTTTTCTTTAGCAAAAGTGACTTCAGCATAATTACAGAATGAAGGATATAATCTGTTTGAGCATGAGATAAAGTTGAAGAAAAGGGACACCTCAGGAAATAAGGACAAGATTGGATGAAATTAGGAACTAGAGAGAAATAAACCTTGGACAGAAGGAAAAAATATCCCTCTAAGGCAAGGCAGGATATGCCTTCTGAGTCATCTATGCACTATATGGCATAGATGGACCAGGTAATTTTGGCATTTATAGAGGGCACTGTCATGCCAAGGCATGGGAGTTCATTAGAAAGATGAGCCAGAGTCACAGGTCCAGGCCCAGAATTCTGGGGTCCAGATGAGAAAGCAGGAAATGGTGACACTGACAAGGAAAAAATAGAAAATGTGAATTCTTATTCTTGGACTTTAAAAGGACATTGCTTTTTATGTAAACTAGTAGGAGGAAAAGATGGTTGTGGAGGGGAGGCCATGTATTCTGTTGTGATCAAGAAATTAGAACTTGGAGTCAGATAAAAGTGAATCCAGGTTAGATTCAGAGGCTCATGCCTGTAATCCCAGCACTTTGGGAGACTGAGGCTTGAACCCTGGAAATCGAGACCAATCCAAGCAGAATAGGTAGACCCTCTATTTCTGTTTTTTTAAAAAGTGAATTCATATCTCAGCTCAGGCACTTTTTAAAATTTTGAAGATGTAGGGTACAAATCAGGGTTAGGTACATAAGTGGTCATAGTACAGGTGAAGTTTGGGCCTCCCACTGGTCCTTATATCGCCTGGTTTGAGATCAGGTACCCTTATTGGTATTATGTGCCCCCCCTCCCCACCCCACCCTCCACCAGCAGGGATCTGCTACTGCTTATCTCTTTCATGTTGTGTTATAGTTTCTTTCATGTAATAAATAAAGGTTTAGAGTCCACAATGTCAGCTCAGGTACTTACTAAGTGTGTGAGCTTATGTCAGGCACTTGTCTACTTCCTGCTTGAGTTTCTTCATGTTTAATTGACTACAGAGGCAATATTTTTCACAAGATTATTGTAAAGAATAAAAGAGAACTCAATATAAAGCTTTCAGAGGGCAATATAGGAAACTATTATTAAGGTTTATATTTGTTAATTGTTTATTTTTATTACACAGATGAGTATAAAAGTGGGAAGAATATTCTAGCACAAGGATTCTGTAATCTCTGTGCAGGAGGGGCAAATTATTTGAAGGGGTACACTTGTAAGAACTGAAGCTTTGGGGAAAAGGTGTCATGAGAAAGAAGTAAAAATGACCAGGAACACATAAAAAGTTTGCTAAGCAGAGTCAAAGGCCGAGATGAAGAATATAGATATTATTTGTAATGTTGCTGCCCTGAGCAGTCCAAGGTTATTTCTCCAGTATTAGGGTATAAAAAGACGTTGACAGAGGGACAAGTGAATGAGAGTGTTATCATTGGAGGAGAGGGCAGGTGGAGGGGGTGGTTGGAGTGATTGTTGAACCAGAAACACAGGCCTAAACATGAAAGGAAGTGAAACCAGTAAGAGCTTGAGAGCCTGGGAGATTGTGCAAAGGTTGATCAATAACATCAGAAACAAACATAACAATAAAATGGAGGTAAGGGAAACTCCAAAAGTGTATGAGAAGCAGAATAAAGATTGCTAAAGCAGAGAGAAGGTGAAAGAATGAAAGCATGAGGAGTGCGATGGACAGGGCAAGGTTGTGGAGAAGGTGACACCATGAGATGACTGAGAGTGACAGTTTGGAGTGTGATAAACCACCATGTCGGGTACTATGAGATTTAGCTTAGGATGCTTAGGAGAATATTTGAGATTGACACAGCTAGATGATGAGAAAACCGTGAAAGCATAGACTGTCTTTTTTACCCATCACTTTTCTCTAGCTCTATAGCATATGCAATCGGTAAGCAATTATACAGCATCTAAAACTCATATGGGATTTCTAAACGACCTCAGGCAAGGTCAAGTGTCAAAATTGCACGGTGTCTATGCAGTTTTCAAATCACAAACCAAAGACTGCTTAACCATTTAAAACAATACAAATCCTAATTGCTGTAAAATTGGGAATTTTAAGACACTAAAATCTTCCTTCCAAAGCACAAAAGCTACTTGCATTTTGGTATTTTTCTTTCATTCATGAATTCTGCAAATATTCATTGAACAACAACTATGTGCCAGGCACTGTTCCATACATTGGGAAAAAAACAGTGGAGGAAAAGGCAAACAAGGCCCTAGCTCAGGGAGCTTAATTCTAGTGGGGGAAACACAGACAGTCAGTATATAAAAATATATATGTTAATTTTCAGCTAGGAGGAGGGCGGCAGTGAAATTAAAACAAGTAGTGGAATAGAGAGTAACCAGGAGTGCTGGAGCACAGCTCTTTTATGTAAGACAGTCAAAGAAGACCCCTGACAAGGTGACCTTTAACTGGGACCTGATGGATAAGAAGAAGCCAGCCATGTGAAGACTGGGAGGTATTCCAGGTAAACAGGTGGTGTAAGTGACCTAAGGCAAGATCCAGTTTGACAGAGAAGGACAAAAACAAAATCAATATGTCTATCCTGGAGTCTAGTGAGAAAGCCATAGCTTTTCCCAAATTCTTTCATGTTTCAGCATGAGTATGATCACAGTGCCTATGCAATGTTCAAGGACTGTGCAGAGGTTAAAAACGGATTCTGGAATGACACTGCTTGTGTTTAAATCCTGGGCCCTCCTTCTCTAGCTCCATTACCTTAGAAAAATTTCCTAACCATTCTGCCGTATTTTATTACCGGTAACCTGATGATAATAATAATACCTACTTCATACAGTGGTTGTAAGAATTAAATGAATTAATAGTTGTAATACACTAGGGAAGTAGTTGGCACATAAAGAGTGCTTCTTATAAAAATTGATTTTACCTTTTTTTCTCCTGACTTCATTATATGAGAAATATATCTTTTTTCCTGCATACTCTAAAGGATTATTTTTGTTGGTTCTGAGTATTCCATAATTTTGGATATCTCATAATTAACTCTATAAGAAGCATATTGCTTTTAATTTTTCTGCATCATAAATCACTTGATGATGAACATCATTATCATATATTGAATCTTCCAGAGTAGTGGAAGTGCCACCTGGGTGACAGAATGTGAGTGAACCAATAAAAACCTTTCACTGATCACAATCTTTAAAGGGCATGGCTCATCTTGATGTGTTTCTCATGAAATTACTACTAAATAACAAAGGAAAAGTAGGTGTGCTGTCAAATTCTATCCCCAGGAACGTTATACAATGTTCCAAAAAAAGAAAAAAATTAAGCAGACAAAAAAAACCTTACAATTTTCCATAAAAACTCTTCCTGATTTCTGACCTCTGAAAGATAACTTGATTAAACTGATAGAATTAGACATAATGGCTAAGAGAGAACACATGTGGATAGATAATTTCTATAGAGAAACCTAGAGAATTTATTCATTAAAAAACTTAACTTCTTGAAAAACTAGAAAATCAATTTTCTAAACTGGTAAACTTTTGTTTAATAATTGGAGTTATGCAAATTATATGTCATACACTTGAATCAAATGAAAATATAAAAACACAAATGTAGGTGATTTTGCTATTAATTGATTATTAAGAATTATTAAAATAAATCAACTTTTAAGTACCTAGATTATAATAGTGTAAAAGAATACAACCATCATAATCTATTTGGACTAAATTAAATTTATTAAATAAAATCATACATATACTTATGTATGTACTCAGGGTCTGAAACATGAATTTCTAAGAGGCATAGTTGACAATAAATTTTTTTGAATTTGTTAACACATGAAACACAAACTTGCAAGGGGACTTTGAGATTAATTAATCCACCTGCTCAATTTTCAGGTGATGTAGCCAGATTCTAAGTGACTTTGCTAAAGTCTCAAAGCTAAAACTCTGTAACAATTTTTGGCATTACACTAAAATTTATCAATTTTTAATTTTCCTTTTAGGCCTAATAAGTATATGACTTAAAAATGCTTTTATGTTACATTAGCCTTAAATAGAAATATTGCTTGTTACTGAATAGCAGATTGCAAAACATTTTTAGAATTACTAAAAATGCCATCTCAAAATACCAACATTTTAGAAATTATTTTTTCTATTATCTACAATTAGTGAAATAATTTTTAAAATACACTTCCAGTTTTAGACAGTTAAAGTTATAAAGTACCAAATGAAAATTGCTACATATTAGGTTTCTCCATGGAAAATAAAAAAGGTTTTATATTATATTTATCTACTTAATAAACTTTATTTTGTCTGACATGTATCTCCAATATTGTATGCATTTTATTCTTATTTCTTTTTTTATTCTTATTTCTTTTTTCTTTTTTTCTTTTTTTTTTATAACAGAAAACTGGGCACAAACCAGAAAGTGTGGATTTATGTGGAGCTCAGATTGAATGGGCCAAGGAAAAATCAAGCAGAAAGAATGTCTTTCAGGTAAGAATGTTACAATATTCTGTTTATCCCTAGTCCCTCTAAACCTGAACTCTCATGGGTAATCAAAATAAGACTACCCCTTGTGATTCGTTTGTGTGCATGAACTAGTTTTCTGAAGGTCGTTATGAAAAACTGACTCCCCTTCTTTGTTGAATCTTTGGTTTGTTTTGTTGTTTTTCCCCTCTGATTGGTTGCTCTCTAAACACAAAATATAAGTCATGTGGTGATTCATTTTACACACAAAAGTCACTGATATTTTTGCAATGTATTTGAGATATATTTGAGGTTCAAGCTTAGAATGCTTTACTTAAATAAATTTAATATTGAATTTTCAGAAAAATACAAATTAAGATTCACTAATTATAAGCTATTTACATTCATTGACATTCCTGCCTTTTCATTGTTAGTTACATTTACCAATGTAACTTATGGAGTTAAGGCGAGCTAAACAGCTATAAAAAATCAATCCCTTCATATTATATACTTTATTTTTAAAAAACAACTTAATTAATCATTACAATCATATTCCATTAAATGAAAAGAACCAAATGAAATCCTTAAAAGACAGAAAATTGGAAAATGTAATTTCACACATGATGTTACCAAAATCATGTAATTTAGCATGATTTATTTGGCAATTAATAATTTCAAATTATAGAGATTGACTTTTTTATTTTATATATTCTTAATTTATGATTATATTTCCAAAGTAGTCACTTTTTTGTATATTTTATAACATTTAACAGTAGCCAAGGAAACCAGATTATTATATTTTTTAAAATTAAATGTTTTCTAAGATTATTTTGGTCCTTGAAGAAAAATCAATTCCTGAAATTAATATATCAGGTCTTATAGAATATGTAGGTGACATTTTCTATCTGTATTCTCACTTAGGGGAAAAAAAGCTCATCCAGTTTGGTTTGTATTTTCTAGATGCAGTTTAGGCATATCTAAATAATTTGGGCCCATTTGGATTTCAAAAACAAAAACAAAAAAGTATTTTAATACATTATGGGATAAATTATTTTTCTGGTTCTAGTTTTATTTTATTTGGATATGGAGTATTCTATTTTAAAAGATAGTGAGAGAATATATACAATTTTTATTTGTCAATTAAAAATAAAATTTAAAAAAGAACGTTGTAAGGAAGGCAGAAAAAATGAGAAAACCAAGCATACTTGTTCAGAAATCAGTGATCTAAAGCCAAAATTGGTTAGAATGTAGCTTTACAGAATCAAGAAGGAGAAATATATTTTGTTTAAAAGCGAGGAACTGTAAACCAATGATATATCCTTTTCCCCAACTTTCTTTCTCTTTTTACTATTCTGCCATAAAATAACACAATTTAGAGGTTATAATTCTAGCCTCTATGAGAACTCAGATGATCAACATGAGAAGTTCTGAACTGATCAGGTAAGCTCAGTGGTACAGCCTTATTATGTATTATGAGTTAAACATCCTAATCACCAAAGTTGTAAAAGGAAGTCATCGAAATTTGATGTAAACATAATTCTTAGACAATAGAAACTGTTAGAGATGGGTGCCAGACTCTCTGAGTTCCTTCTGCTAATCTTATGAAGAGTTAAATTAGATCACAAACGAAGATGACAGTCATCTATATATGAGACATTCGGGGCTGCAAATATTAATGAAAAATATTTATGTGTACTTTTATATAACTATGAATATAATATGTATAGATATACTTTTCAACCACTTATATTGATGGTTTCTATCATCATAATCTTTTCTGAATATGACTAACAACCTCCTGCTGCAATTTTCGACTTGATTTTTATATTTCTGAATACACGCACTTTCAAAGATACTAAAAACTATTCTCATTTTTGGTAACACTTTGGAGGTTAAAGTCTTGCCAGTTAGTTGTACTTGTTATGCTACTAAGTGTTCTTATTTTTTTTAATCTTTTTTTTGTCTTGTATTCTTTTGTTTAGAGAAACAAGAGGTGATTATAAGGATAGCATGAATAACAAAGCTAAAGAAAGATACAAGTTTCATTTTCTGCTTCATTTTTTGAGGGTGAATCGCTTGGTTTTCTTGTCATGCTGAGATCTTTTCATCACCTAAGCTTATTAGTTTAGGTAAAATTTACAAATCATATCCATAGATACAGACTACGAGAGAAGTCTTTTGAGAGGAACAATAGAAATAGCTCTTACAGTTCTGGCATAGGGAAGGATATGCCAGAGAGCTAAATCTAGATGACTTACATCAATATTTGATTAGATACATTTGCTGGTCTAGCTCTCAAATGATCACAATAAACATGATTATATCTCAAAAACATGGTATTAGGGCATTGTTGGATGTTTGAGTGTGTGTGTGTGCAAGAGTTTCATTACCTACAGAATAATGAAGTGTTTCTTCCTGACTGAAAAAGACCATCATAGCTTCAGCTGATGTGCTACATCAAAAATAGCTTTAGAATTCCAAGTTTGAATTAGACTTGGTGTTCAATCTCAGTCTATGAATTATAGATTACAGATAGCAAATGACTATTGAGATTTTTGGTTCAAGAAAAATCAAAGAAGAGCAAAATTAGAAATAATTTAAAATTTGAAATCTGTCTTTAAAATGTTGATGGATTAGAAATTATATGCCACAGAATTGCAATGTCTGCAGAGAAGTCCAACCTGAAATGAATAGGAAAACAAACAAAAAATTGTGTGAGCCTGAGATATGCTTGAAAGTCTCTGAAGCACACACTTGTGACACCAAAAAATGGAAGGATTTCATGTGCTTCATTTGTTTGTATATGCTGTTTGGACACTTGAGTTGTTCATTTTCTCTTTGTATTAAAAGTCAAGGTTCCTTCGTAGTCAAGTCCTATCAAACTCGTGATGTGGACTCGAACTTATTTGGTTGGTACATAGTAACATAACAGTGACAATGTAATTATTAAGTTTCGGTATTCAACAACTTTCAGTGAATCAGAATTTACTTTCTGTAATCAGTTTCAGTAAATCTGTAATCAACTTTCAGTTAATCACTTGCTGAGTTTAAGAATATATTCCTATGTTATATACAGAACAATCTTGGCCTAACTGATACATATTAATAGTAAATAATAATTAAAAGAACTAACAACTTCTATAATAACACATATAGATAAGTCATAATATGTGTTAAAATATGTACTGTATATATGTATACATGAGTATATAAAATGCACATAAGTGAATATATAACCATATCAAATAGCTTGACATTAGGAGATAGGGTGAACATTTCCTCATGCACCCACACAAATTCAGAAAGATGCTTTACATTTATAAAAGATCGCACAATTCCAAGTTGAATTAGTAAATGTCCTTTGCCGCTAACTTTTGTTTAATTTTTCATTCATGATAATTGTCAAGGACCATCACAAGTTTGATGTAGCCTGAGAAAGCCTTTAGCAACTGAATGATTTGTAATGAACTATGGTATGAGTTTTCTTAGTTAACTTAAGAGCAACACTAGTTCTTCATCAGGGGAGGAGTGAATAAAAAGATTTATGTTCAAATCACATGTTTTAAACATCCCTGCTAAGTGCTAGTTTGCTCTTTGGTGTTTAGCCTGAAATTTAAAGCACTAAGGATTAAAAGGATTACAACATAATCTTAAATAATCCTAAATGTCATTTACAGAGAGATAGTTGTAATAACTAAATAAAACCATGTTAAGGGATGGCAGCATTGTCAGGCAGCATCCACAACGCAGTCGCTGCTACTGTCATCTTCTCTTTCCGGGCTGGGCACAGTAGACATTTACAAAGTCTTTCCATAGAAAGTCCAACCGAGAAAATTACTGCAAAATAATTTAAAACAATAAGTAATTTTTTTAAGCTTTTAATAGATCCTTGTTTCAGAGTTGAAGAAAATTTTTTGCTTAGATTTTCTTGCTTCCTGTGAACATAAGGCTGTCTGAGTTAAGTATTTTAGAAAGGGTAGGGAAATGAACTTCATAACACGACTATCAAATTTATAGATGATACATCTTTAAAAGATTCCCCAGCCTCCAAGGAGGTACCCCCTTATTAAATATATGAGAGTCTCAAAGCACTGAAATTAATTCTATGCCTTTTAATTCCATACTTAAATATTCTTTACTTAAATATTCTGTCATGTAAATTAGTTTTTCTCCCCAAAGAAAATACAAAGAAAGAAACTATATCCCATATTGCTTTTTACTTATTAAACCAGAGGACTGGACACTTTTTAGCTGCATAAATTGCAACTGCTAAGGCTAAAGTTTCATTATTGCCGTAAAACAAAACAAATTCACTTAAAAAAAAAAAAGTTAGGAAATTGTATCAACAATATAGGCCTTGTACTCCTATGTTTCCAGGGCATAAACAGGGAGTGAAGAATAAAAATATAACTATTTCCTTGGTTCATTTTATTACAAGGTTTAAGATAGTAGATGAGTAGATGATTACTCATTTAAAATAATTAAATCATTTCTAAAGTTTTATCTTTCTTCAGAGCCTGACAGTAACGAGGTCTCAGTTTTCCTGTTTCCTTTAAAGCAAAATTTTAACAACATACATTGAACTCCTCTATAGATGGCATGTTTTAAGAAGGATACGTCTGCCAATTAATGAATCATGGCTAGTTAGGACTGTATCAATTGCCTGCTTGAAAGACTGAAAAAATGTAAACGACCCAAGAAAATGAAAGCCTGTTCAACTCTCCACACCACCAATTTATAACCTCAAGAAATATCATGGTCATATTTCCTGTATTTGAGATTCTTTTGCAATATGTAAAAAAAATATATCTCGGGAATATTCTGTCCCTAAGAGTAAAGTAAACCTCAGAATAGATTTATCATTGCTCATAATACTTTTCTGACTCTGGATGGAGACTTCTGACTATAATGTATATTAAATATTTGCATGTACTATTTTTCCATAGACGTACATTACATTGAAACATGATTTGATTGTTGCTTCTGATCTCAATATGTCTTAGCTTCAAAGGTAGTTTAAGTACTAC